ATTTCCATAGCAAAGGGTTTCTGTGGTAGACACGGCATTTTGGAAGAATGATCCCAGTACAGCCATGCTGTTTTCCACCCTGTTTCAAGTTTATCTCTCTACTTTTGCCTAAAAAAACCCATATGTATTGTTGCCCAGTGAAGTTGAAATATCTTTATACTGGCTTTGGACTGTCCTCAGACTTCTTTAACCATAATTACTGTTGAACCTGAGCGTTAGTGCGGTTTTCTGGCGATGCTGTGGAAAAACCATTAGCTTTGGAGCGTGGGTCTTTGATCTGGCTCTTCTGTGAACTAGCCAAGGGATCTTGGATGTATAACTTGGCTTTTCTCTCTTTCCTCCCTAAAACGAGGGGTTGAGACAAGACAATCTCTCAGATTCCTTCTGCCCCTGAGTGTCACAGTGTGAATCTTTTAGAGACTTGAATAGTCTTCTAGATCCACCTCCCTCCCTGCGAATTAGGTTTATTTATCCAGGTGTGGGGCTCATTTCAGGTTGATCTGTTGCAAATCTGAGAATGATAATGCCTTTAATAAGATGTCTTTTCTGTGTCACTCAGGCCTCTTGCTTAGGTGTTTAAAATCCTTTTTATCCGAGATAAGGGTGGACCCTCTAAGAGCATAAACGTTAGAGATTTGGGAACTTGATATTGGATTACCAAAGGATCCCCCAAATATATTTCTGACTTTTGTTATCATTTGTAGTGCTTGCTGAAAGCTTGGCTAACCGAAAAAGAAGAAGCTTTAAATAAAGTCCAGACGAGCAACTTCAGAGACCAAAAGGAACTAAGTGTCAGTGTTCGACGACTGGCTGTAAGTAATGTTACCATCAGCACCTGTCTTGTGAGCCTGTGACATTTTAGGGTTTTAGATAAGTAGTTAATACAACTCAGTAAATGCAGATTAGGACACGTTACCCAACACTGCAGTGCTGCCATGGAATGATCTAGAACCAGGAGTCGTATGTTTTAGCATTAGAGAATTGCAAGGGTAAATTTTACTATAAAATACACATGTTTACATTTTCTGGCTGGGGGGACAGAAAGATCAAATCTTATTAAAAGGGAGTCATCTAACAAATATCTGAAATACTAGATTTTGAAGGAAGACATGGAAATGAAGCGTCAAGCGTTGGACCAGCTGAGTGAGATTGGCCAGGATGTGGGTCAGTTACTTGATAATCCGAAGGCATCTAAGAAGATCAACAGTGACTCGGAGGAACTGACTCAGAGGTGGGATTCTCTGGTGCAGAGACTAGAAGATTCCTCCAACCAGGTAACCTTTGCTCTGGGCAGTATGTTGTGCCATTAAGTAGTGATGAAATGTTCAGGTTAGTTTTAGTTTTTACGAAACAAAAGAGTAGTAGCTAAACTAAAAAGTTGGTTCCTTATACCTGGTTTACAATAAAATTGAAAAATCGACATGTGAAAATCTTTAGTTTTCTAAAGTAAATTTTAATAGATCTTCAAAAAAAAAAGAGTAATATCCAGTTATTTAACCCTTGCTAACTGATATCAGATGTGAATTCATTCAATGATCTTTAAATCTTATTAATTTAAAAATATTTTAGCGAATTAATAAAAAATAAAACTGGTTTGTACATAAATGTTCATAGCTGCATTATTCATAATAGACAAGAAGTGAAACTACGCAAATGCCCGGTAGACGGATGAATGAATAAGCAAAGTGTGGTGAACCCATACAGTGGGATACTTTTTTGGCAATAAACATGACGTACCGATACATGCTCTGACATGGATGAACCTTGAACACACTGTGCAAGTAAAAGGAACCCGTAACAAGGTTATAAGCCGTCTGATTCTATCTCTATGAACTCTCCAGAGCAGACAGATTCGTAGAGACAGAAAGCAGATTAGTGGTCACCAGGAGTCAAGGGGAGGGGACAGGAGGTGACTGTTAACCGGTCCAGGGTTCCTTTTGAAATTATTCTGGAATTAGAAAGTGGCCACAGTTGCATAACTCTGTGAACGCACTAATGACCACCGAGTTGTACATCGTCAAAGAAAGAATTTCCTGGCATCTGAATTCTATCTCAGTAAAGCGGCAATAAAACATTAAAACTTTGGCCGATTGTATTTCAGGTGACTCAGGCCGTGGGAAAGCTGGGGATGTCGCAGATTCCTCAGAAGGACCTTCTGGAGACTGTTCACATCCGAGAACAAGTATCCACCAAACGGTCTAAGCAGGAGCTGCCTCCTCCCCCGCCTCCAAAGAAGAGGCAGGTCCCCGTGGACACGGACACTAGGAAAAAGTGAGAGCAGGAGACCTTCCCAAACCCAGCGTCGCGCGCAGCGCGCTCGGTCCCCGCACCTTTCCACACTCACACCGAGCACACGCACACTTAGAGGTCAGGGCGGTTAGCAGCGCTCGCCCCGCCCTCGGAGCGCCCTCTGCTCGCTGGCTGGGCCCCAGCGTCTCGGGGGGGCTTTGTCTCTCCTGCGTTCACCCCGAACCGTGGGCCGAACCGTGCTGGCCTCTCCTGCCATCGCCTCGGCGGCCTGCTCCCCGAGACGCCTCCGTTACCCTTTCACTTCACCTTTCCGACAGTTCTGCTTTAGACACATGTCCTTGTCGTTTGTGACGCTCCTTTCTCTTCTCCCAGGTCAAAAATACTTCATTCGGGGAAGTAGTTAGTCTCCTTTTTTCCCTTCATTTTTTCACCCCTCGATCTTTTTGCACGTTTTCTTTCTTTCTGAGGTCGCTGATCATCTCACATTGCAAGGAGTCCGGAGGTACCGTGGCTTGAGCGACACACGGACCCCGGTTATGTACCTGGAGTGTCACAAAATCTTGTACAAGTTACAAGGAAAATTTACATGGGTGAAAAAACAACTATTCGTAGTTCACTAGAAACATTTTAAGTGAAGTTTCCCCAAAGATTCAGCGAGGGCCATCTGTGCTCACCTTAAAGTACCTCAAAGTATCCAGCGGTTGTTTTGAGAGTGTGATTAAGAGGACAGATGGCCTCGTTGGACTCCCAGCTCTATCATTTATCAACTGCTTGGCCTGGGTCAGTTATTTAAAACCTCCAGGAGCTCAATTCCTGTGTTATTAAAGGGATAATAGTAGTGGATAGCTCATGGGGTGGCTGTGAGGATGCCTTGGGGTAAGAGTACACATAAAATGCTTAGGCAGGGCCTGGAGGGTGGCCAGCAGCCCCTGACCGTTTCCCCCTCGCTCCTCGCGCCGTGGTCTTGACGTCCCTTCCCAGCGCCTCTCCAGCCTGTACACGTTTGTCTTCTCCCACTGTCCTCGCTCTGGCTCCTGTTCCCACCTCAGCCTTTGCTCTGGCCTTGCCTCCTTATGCCTTCTTCTCGGTGAAGGCTGCCAGGTAAATGGAACCGCCAGCCCCGGGCTTTGCACCCTCCCCTGGCTCTCAGCGGCCCTTCTTTGAAGCCCAGCTCCTTAATCTACCCCCAGGGCCTTCCTGTAACAGGCTGCGCTCCCTCCCACGGAGCGCTCGCTATCCCAGCCACACCTGACTACTTGCGGCCTGCACGGTGCGGCTCTCACTTTCTTTGATCTCTCTTTGCAGCAAGGCAGACTCCTGGCTTAATGCCATTCTCCCCCAGGAAGCCACCCCTCCCTGAATTCCTGGAATTGGCACCTAGCAAACTCTTTCAGTTACTGCCTTTTACCCTTCATTGACTTCAGGAGACTGGAAGCTCCCTGAGGGCTGGGATTGTCTCACTTACCTTCCTATCTAGAGCCCAGACCAGTGCCTGGCGCATAGTAGGCTCACCTCAGAAACATGTTAAATTAAAGAAGGCATGAACTTGAGCAATGTCCCTATGGGTTCTTTTCTGTCATTATCTAACCAAATCTGTTTTTCATTTTCTACAAGCGTTTTATGAAAATACAAGTGATTTCTTTAAAAAGTTTCAACATTTAAAAATTTATTTTCTTTAGTTACATACTAACACGGCGACATTACTCCTCTTTTCGTACTTTGAATTGTAAATGCATGATCTTGTTTCGCGTGGTCTCTGCGTTTCTGGGTTGCCTCTTTCATTTTGGTTTGGCTTCTGAGGAGTGTTTAAAACACTTGCTGGATGGGTGTCTTGGCTGCTCTCCTGCTTGAGCCAAGTGAAACAATAGAAGGAAGCGAATGACAAGTGGTAACATCTGAATCTTAAATCAGGTTTGATGCCCTGAGTGCAGAGCTGTTGGACTGGATTTTGAAATCAAAGACTGCCATTCTGGCCACAGAGATAAAAGAATATAAGAAGATGCAAGAGACTTCAGAAATGAAAAAGAAGCTGAAGGTAAACCATGAAACAAGAGCCCACTGGTGAATAAAATATTTCATCAGGATAGATTTACTTTGGCACAAAGATGTGACGGGATCCAAAAGCTTCCTGTAAAATAAATGCAGCCACAACGTAGCTTTTAGACCAGTGTGGTAAACTATGAACTGAGTCAAGCTGGCTGGTATCAGAGCCCTGCGTGGAGAAGATTTTTTTTCCCCTTCTTCACCACTGAGTTGTGTAGGAAGGAACCCTTGCTTCCTAAGGCCTCTAAATATGATTTCTATTTTTAGCTTGATTAGGCCTTAATCTACCACCTAATAATTTGTGACTTTGTGTATGCAGATGTTTGGCTTTCCAAATACAACAGACCGCATTAGTACCTCCGTATCCTCAGCTACCTGCAAATCAACCGTAGTCCAAGAATATTAAGTGGATAATTCCAGAAATAAATAGTTCATAAGTTTTAAATTGCAGGCTGTTCTGAGTGGCGTGATGAAATCTCCCGCTGTCCTGCTTCGGCCACCTGGGACGTGAGTCCCACCTTTGTTCAGTGCATCCACGTTGATACACTGCCCTCCCGTTAGTCACCTAGAGTCTGTCTTGGTCACTTAGCAGCTGTCTTGGTTATCAGGTGGACTGTCGAGGTGTCACCGTGCTTATGTGCAAGTAATACTTATTTTACTTAATGATGGCCCCAAAGCGCAAGAGTAGTGATGCTGGCAATTCAGACATGCCAAAGAGAAAAGGTGGGTACAGGGCAGTAAGATATCTTGAGAGAGACAGAGAGAAAGAGAGAGACCACATTTGCATAACCTTTATTACAATAGATTGTTATAATTGTTCTGTTTTATTATTAGTTTCTTGTTAATCTCGTATTGTGCCTTAGTTACCATAGGCATGTATGTACAAGTAAAGCCTAGCGTGTATTGGAGTGGCTACCCGTGGTGGTTTCGGGCATCCACTGGGATCTTGGAACGGATCCCCCGAGGATAAGGGGGATCACTGTATTTCAGATTCCTTCACTCTATTTCTTCACTTTATTAAACATAAATGCTATTCAAATGTACGGAGCTTGGCTCTGCTACTTTGTACGTGTGTGTCTGTTACTGACGTTGTGCCAGGAGGTTGTAGCCATTGATGTTGGTCCTTTCGTGAGCTATTTGGGCATCTAGAGCAGGTCTGGACTGCCGTCTCCATCAGCAATGGAGTCTGTCCGTAAGGGGCCTGGGGATGTTTATTTAAAGAATAATGCGTGTAAGTATCGCTGATGTAAGTTAGAAAGTGGTGGGTGCCACGGGAATTGAGAGGAGGCCAGGACCGCAGTCATCCCTGGACTTAATATAACACCAGCCAAAAGAATACTGAGACTCAAATGATTTTCATCTTTTTTCTTGATAATTAATTTTTGTTCAGTGATTTCTGCCCTAACCCATTCAGTTCACTTGGACGCAAACGCTGCTTTTTACGGTGTGGCGTATGTGAATAGGTGGATGTCCTGGACCTAAAACATTAATTGTACTTAATTCCTCTTGGTAGGAACTCTTAATTATAGTGTAAAAATGTAGTTCTTGAAAAGAAACTAAAGTTTTATATTGTTTGTTTGAATTTACCTTTTCAAAGTTAATCATCTCTGGTGTCCTGGAGGGTAGCCTGGAACCGCCTAGGTTTATATTGTAGTATCCTCTTAGGTAAACTTTGTAACACATAAAGAGAATGTGGGAGGGACATTAAACATTAAAACTTAAAATAGCATCTGCATTACACTGAGAAGAAAGTTTGCAACTTTCTTATATCGAGACTTTATTTCCAGGGACTAGAAAAAGAACAGATAGAAAGAAGACCCAGACTGGATGAATTAAACCAAACTGGACAAATCCTTTCGGAGCAAATGAGAAAAGGTGAGACTCTTGATTTTTTATTTATGTGTTTTTAGATGGTGGCATTTGATAATATTTAGTTTGACAAATCAAAGATATATATTTTGATACTCTAACCCTCTTTGCTAGAAAAGTGATTTTCAGAAACTTTTTTGTCAGCAGAATGTCTTTTTCAAATGAAATCTTATGCTGAGGCTGATTATATCAAACTGATAAAAGCAAAGTTCTGCTTTTAGACAGGATCAGGGAACCTAAAACTCTGATACCTCAGCAAAACAGTAAAATTCCACTGGTGTAGATTTAAAAATCTCCTCCTTTGGAGTTGTATATCGGGGATTTTTTTGTGTGTGGGGAGGGGGTTGCAAAAGAAAATTTTACTTTGGTGACATTGGAGAGATAAAGTTATATTAAGGTATGAATTTTGTGACCTAATGGATGCTTGCTAAATTTCATAAGAAACCTTTTATATTTTGTGTTGCCATTATTTTTTGAACTTTGGTAAGGCTGAAAATGCATTCATTACAGAACCCTAATTATACTTATTTAAAAAAGCATATCTGTTATTAAGATTTTTTTAGGATGGGGTGGGAAGCTGAGAAATGGGGGCATTGATCTGAATAGGGTTTATATATTCAGGGTTTAATTTTCTCATTTTTTGAAGGGTGTTTGCTTTTTGTTAGTGAGAGAATGAAAATGATTTTAAAAAGTCTCCCCACTGTCGTCCCATGTTATCCATGATTCTGATGTTACAGTATTGGTCTGACTTCTCTATGTGTGGTTGTGCTGGTAACCCTGCTGCTGTAAAACCAGAAATGCTGAACAGAAGTGAAGCACAATTGGGTGATTCTCTCTGTTCCCATCTCTCCTCCCTTAGGAATTTGTAGAGATAGAAAAGTTCTAACTCCAAGTCTCTGGGGGCAAATCAGTTATTTTAGAAAACAACGTATAGTTTCCCTTTTATATGATGCAAACTGTTCTTTTGTTCCTACTTGATATCGGTCAAACCTATATTACCTCAGGCTCGGAGGAGGGAGATTTAAATTTTGAGAGTTGGTTTGAAGGGAGCAGAATGAATGGACTATGAAATGCGGTCGGTGAGCACAGAAAGGAGCTGGGAAGTTGCGTCAGTGTCCCTAGTGCCCAGCGTGAGGACTTCTTGCCTGTTTCCTAGACGAGCAGTGATACTTTTTCATCTTAAACACTTGTATTTACCAGCTTGATTTTCTTTCTTCTTTAGCATAAATTGCTGACATGAAAGTGAAGTGGTTGATATTCTTTTGCCCACTTAGACCAGAAATGACCCGGCAGGTGCACAGCCTGGGTTTCCATTGCTCAGTTTTTCAGGAAAATGTTAATTTGTTGATGATCCCCATGCACAGGGATAATTGAACTTGGACCATGGTGTGAACATTTTGCCTGGGTCTAATTAATATTCTGTTACCTGCATGAGGGACAGTGAACTTCAGCCACCGACACGGGTGATATTCGAATCATGTCATGTTTGCATTTCTAATTTTCAGTGGATACAGGGTGTTATCGGAATTTTTGAAATAGCGTCATTTGCGGATCATAAGTGTACTTTGGTTGTACTTGCATTTTTTTCCTTAGCGCTCTCCTTACCCTGGATTTTGATGGCACATATTTACAAAACACAATTGTTTTTATTGGCCGCCTACTCAAATGATAAAGATGTTAAGGTCATCTTCTCCACCTGCGTGCTCTCCTCAGGCGATACGGGCACCTTTGCAGATTTCTCATGCTATTTCATAGTGCTTTTACATGATTTGATGGCATTTTATAGTAAGGGATAGACTGACAAAACCTATTATTTTATATAACTTGATTATTTCTATGAACATTCCCTAACTCTCAAAAATGGGAGACGAGCAAAATTATTTATAAGGTAAATAAGTCCTAGGGATATAATGTACCAAAGTAAATAAATAATAAAACTGTTGAGATAGTCCCACTTAAAGTAATAATTATAAGCTGTCAGGAATAAACATAAATTTATCTCTCTAAAGTAGATAATCTTACTGCTGCCTCGATACTGTGGTACTTGCTGGTCTGTGTGCGGTGTGCTCAGTAGGCTTGCTGATGCTCTCAGATCTGGCTACTGGCTGACTGTTCCCGCATTCCCCAGGTTGCTCCCAGCACTGGGAATTCTTACCATTCGTTTTGCAATTCATATGACACTGTGGTTTGGTCATCAAAGACTTGAGCTGCCTCCGAGTGTTTCTAGCCAGCTGTTTTTTTTTCAGAGCATATACCTTCTGATGTCAGAGCCCCAGAGAAGTCCAGACAGGCCGTTTCATTTTCCAGGCTTAGACTAGAAACTAGCAGAGTGCTGGCTGCCAAGGATGCAAACACACCTTCTACAGGAAAGGCTGTGGCTGGAGTTCTAAGCCCTACTGATGCTCCTTTCGTGGTAGTCACACCACTCTTTCAGGCTCCCTCCTTTCACTTTGGTCAAGGAATCGAAGTTATTATTAGCATCACCATCATTACTATTACATCATTATAATTTATGTTTTATATTTATTTATTTTATATTATTATTTCATTACTATAATTTTTTTGTTATGTTAAAAGGGACTTACGGAATGATCATTATATGTGAGATTGCCTAATTATTTTGAATGTTAGAATATTTATAACAAATTCCAAAAAGTTTTGTTGTAATGTGTGAATTGCCTCCTTATTTTTCATGTCTGTGTAGAAGGTCTTCCGACTGAAGATATAAAACATACCCTGGAGAAGGTACTATCAGAATGGAAGAATGCGTCTCAGCATTTGGAAGATCTGGCGAGAAAGATTCAGCTCCAGGAAGATATAAACACGTACTTTAAACAACTCGATGAGCTTGAAAAGACCGTAAAGGCAAAGGAGGAGTGGGTACAACATGCCCCCTCATCAGCATCTCCCCAGCAGTCCTTGCCGAGCGTCAAGGTAAAGAGACACCGTCCAGGACGTGAAAGAATTCTGTGCCCAGTCCTATTTAAAGGGATGTTCCTTGTATCGTGAACATTAGGTTAATTCTGCTCTGATTAACTTTCTGTGAGGATGTTCTTCTTCGGTGAGTTATGTGGCCATATTTTCTCTTCCACAGCGGGAACTGACGAATCTCCTTGGCCTCCACCCCAAAATTGAAACGGTGCGTGCCAGCTGTGCAGCCCTGAAGTCTAGGCCTTCTGCCCCAGATTTTGTGCAGCAGGCCTTCGATCGCTTTCTGGGCCACTACCAGTCTGTGCAGCAGGATTTAGAGGATCAGCAGCAGCAGCTAGAGAATGGTAAACTTACCACACCCTCTATTGCTTCTCTGCCCTAATTTAAAAATTACTCCCAATATTTACACCTTTAGCACATTTGCTTCTTTGCGCCACACTCGCTTTGTTTTCCTCTGTGCCTGCTACTCTTCCAGGTCTCAAAGTATATTCAGACTATTTCTTGGATTCACAATTGTTTATAAAAATGCAAACAGCTTTCACATGCTCTAAAGTTGTGTTACTAGGATATAATGATTTGAAGGCTCTTTTTAAAGGGTGCTGTTTTCCCTTTTCCTTGAAGGAGGCTGGTCAGTATCATTTCTGAGGGCTAAATAGAGTGATAAGTTACTTCAGTTTGCTCAAGATGGTTCAAGTTTTAGCAATTCCATCTTCTTTTTTTTTAACAGAAATCATGTTCCTCTTTTGAAGTCTGAAAAATTTTACAGGATTTTTACTTTGAGAATAAACCTGGTTTTGGAAAATTAACTGTTAAAAGTTTTCAGAGCCCATCCCTCATGCTATATTTTTTTCTCCTGAGCTATTGTTTAAGTCAGGAATTGTGTTGCATTAGGTAATGTTATGGGCAGTGCACGTTAAAAAGCTGCACACTTAACCATACCCTTACCTGCAGCAATTGTAGATGCGTGTTGGTGAGCAAATGTGCCACATGTCCTTTCTTCTGGAAAGGCATTCAGATACCATGCTCTTTGTTCACTGAGTTCAGTTAACCTAGAAGGTGAAATGTTTGAAAGTACCTCCTTTTAAATTTACTGTTACAAAATATGCTTTCATTTTTGACAAGGATCCATAGGCAATTGAAATGTTTCTTAATTTAAAAATTCAATTTATTTTTTGTTTTTAAATTAATTGTGGTAAACTATATAGAGCATCCATTTTCCACTTTATTTTTCAGTGTAGAGTTCAGTAGTGTTAAATATATTTACATTATTGTGCTACCAATCTCCAGAGCTCTTTGCATCTTGTAAAACTGAAACTATACCCAGTAAACAAGTTCCCCATTTCCCCCTCCCTCTAGGCCCTGGCAACCACCATTCTACTTTCTGTTTCAATGAGTTTGATTCTTCTAGATTCCTCATATAAGTGGAATCCTATAGTATTTGTTTTCTTGTGGCTGGCTTATTTCACTTAGTATAAAATTCTCTAAGTTCATCTATGCTGTAGCATGGGTCAGAATTCCCTTCCTTTTTAAGGCTGAGTAATATTCCATCGTGTGTACATACCACATTTTGTTTATCCATGTATTTGTTGGTGGGCATTTGGGTTGTTTCCACTTTTCGCTGTTGCGAATAGTGCTGCTGGCTTAACTTTTTGCCGCTAGTTGGTTTCATCACTTTGTGCTTCAAATAAGCTTACTTCCTTTCCACCTAAGTGTTGCTTGCCTGTGGTTTTTACATTAGTGGGTGCAGTAGACTTCATTCCAGTTGGCCTTTGCAGTCATTATTTCTCAGAGTACCTGCAGTAACCTGGCTGTGGTGTCCCTATACAATGTCCACCACTCTGCCATGGCAGCTCATCTGCACGCTTGAGCTTAGAGGAAGACTGGCTGAAGGGATCTTTGTTTTCTTTATTCTTTGTGTAGCTACTAGAAAAAAAGAGATTATATGAGACAAAAGGATCATTGTAGTACCATCTTCAGAGAGCCAGTTCATCATGACAAAATGAAGAAAAATGATAGTGGGCTAGTTAATATTTCAAACATCAACATCCGTAGGGATGATCTCACTGCCTGACTCTCAGAGATGCCAATGGAATGATTTCAGTAACTGAGACCCCTTTTAATTTTAGTTACAGAGTTTAACTTCTTAATATTATAATTCACTTATTATATAGAGAAGATTCATGTTATTTATAATAACATAAGGTTTCCAGCCTTGTTTTCTCAAACTAAGTATTTTAAAATAAACAGAAATGAAGAGCCAACCTGGACACGCATATTTGGAAATGTTGAAAACACTGAAAGATACGCTAAATGATTCAGAAAGTAAGGCCCAGACGTCGTTGGATGTCTTGAATGATCTTGCAGAGGTGGAAAAGGCCCTGCAAGAAAAAAAGGTAACATATATTTTAGGTCTTAGAAAATCTAGAGTCCTTTCTAATATATTGCATATTTTGAAATATTTTTTTCAACTATTTAAAAAAATATTAGTCACTTTTGGTCACAATTGGCCAAAAATTTCTTACAATTTGAAGATTAGTTACTATAACATAGCCCCTTAGGTAAAAGAAAATATAGTTATGTTAAATATTTTACTAGAATGAAACCATATGTTTCTCCTATTGTCATTAGCTTGAAATTCTCAACCTGTTTATAATCTACTAAAATATCTTTAATAAAAATGAACACTATCAATTGAATTGACTTGTTCTTTTTCTATGTTGAGTGAAAAATGCTTCCCTGGCCATTTAGGATACATGGCTCCGAACTAGTTCATGAGATAGAGCACCCACTGCGTGTATTGTTCGAGGTTTTCAGAGTAGAGAATGTACCACGTCTGGCCACATACAACTCATGAAGGGAAAGCTGTAACTTTTTTGACTGTGCTTATTTTTTTTAATGAGTTTTCAGTTTTGTTTTTTTATTGAATGCTTTTTAAAAGGTGGCTTTTGACTGTTTATAGCTCATACTGTTACAGCTGTACAGACAAATTGTGCATATTGTTAATCTTTAAAAATTTTTTTCCAGGCCCTTGATGAACTCCTTGAGAATCAAAAACCTACATTATTTAAACTTGCAGAAGAAACAAAGGCTTTGGAGAAAAACGTTTCTCCAGATATAGAAAAAATGTATAATCGAGAATTGAGTGATGTTGAAGGAAAGTGGAACAAAGTAAAGGTCAAGGTTTCCAAAGATCTGCATTTGCTTGAAGAACTTACGCCCAAACTAAGAACTTTCGAGGTAAATCCAGAGCCCGTTAGGAATTTAAGTTTATGACCACACAGTAGCAGTTATCATGTAAGATTCAAATATCTACTACTTGAGAATTTTGCATTCTTTCTACTGTCACCTTTATTAGGTACCTAAGTTGGGATTTATAACTTGCTTACCAAAGCTATACGTTTAATGTGCTGGAGAGCACAAAGATAAGAGAAAATTGCTTAAAAAGGGCCAACAGAATGTTTTGGGGATGAAGAGCCTGCATGACATACGGACTGGTGACTAGATTGCAGTGGTAGAAGGTGCCCAGGTAGTAGCAAATAGCTGAGTCTTTGAGGCTGTGTTCTGTGTAGCTTAGTATTTTTGACTTATTTAACATCGTGAGTGGATCCACTTCCCCTTATCTGTCTCACTTGTAATTCTTTCCAACTTCAAAAACCAGAATTACCCTTATTCATGATTCTAAAATTTTGGGGTATTGCCCAAGCGTTGGATTATTAGTGATTCTCAGTCAGGGGTGATTGTGCCCCCTAGAGGATATTTGTTACTGTTTGGTGACATTTTTGTGTGTCTCAGCCGTGGGGGAAGGGAGGAGGGTGCTATTGGCATCTAGGGTTGCAGGTAAACTTCCCACAGTGCACAGGACAGCCCCACAGTGTCAATAGTGCCAAGGCGGAGCAATGCTGGATTAAATCTTTCCCATCTTTTCAAAGATCACTGCTTTGTTTTCAAACATAAGTCTGAGATGTAGTTAGGGAAATTTACAAGTGAAGATTAACCCAAAGGTTGATCTTTTGATTCTTACGAGTGTATTATAGAGTTAGCTAAATGTGTGCCAATATTTTAATGTGGAATTTAAAGATAATAAATGTTCTTCAAAACACAAAAGAGAGCCCTGTGGCTACAGTGATCCAGCTTTAGGCTTTAGTGTGTTATTGTTACTCATGTAGCAAATTTAGGCACTTCAAGTGGCCAATTGGAGTGCACGCCAAATTCATTTCCACTGAAAATATTCCACATCAAACATGCATCTTGATAATTAGATTTTATAATTTTTAAATTTTATGGTAGCAGATTTGTTACATCCAGTTGTTTTTAGTTTACTTTTTGTGTCCTAACTATGAGATTGTTGACCGCTTTTGAGATAATTGTACAGCTTTTCATTGAGATACATTTTTAAATTCTAAAGAACACTTATTCCTTTATTTGCTTTGAATGAACTGCTTGTTACTTAATAACTTAGGAAAACTTTTTATCCCCCCCAAAGATAATTACAATAAATATTCATTTTGACGTTAGCCTTCTTTCCCCCCTTTAATTACCTGATTTATAATTTTTAAGGCATTTTAGTTCTATTTGTCTTTAAGGAATGAGGCACAGTAGGTTTTTGATTCAGTTCCAATTCATGATAAAGTTTCTTAGGAACACAGTGGATGACTTATTTTTAAAATGCATTTTTAATTATATAAGTAATACATGAATAACGCTTGTTGAAGACATTGAATAACAAAGTATTTAGAGTTAGCACTCAGAGTTCCCTGTCTTTCCCAATACCATTTCCTTTCCTGGGGGCAGCTCGCATTAACAATGATTCTTGCAGGAGGTTAACATATTCCAAGTGAAAAAGGAAAGTTCATGAATATTTCTAATTCTAATCATTTTTTCCCACACTAATAGAAACAAATGATATTGGAACTTCATGAGGGGCACTGAAATAGATAGTACTCAAATGCATGAGCTCGGAGTATGAATTTTCATTACTCAAATAATAATGCCTGTCATTGACACAGTGCATTTAAACGGAAAGTATTCTCATAGCTTTTGCTTACTTTCTTCCTACCATCCTACAATTCCTGCAAGGAAATTGTATTATTTGCTTGTGTGCAAATTTTAGTTTTTGGTTATTTTTCGGCAAGTAGTGTTTTCCTTATGTGCCTACGTTTCCTTTGTCTACACAGCTGGTTCCTTTTGCACAGATAGAGAGAATGGGCCTGCACACTCTAAGTCAGCAATTTTCAACCTTTGTCATCTCCTGGCACACAAACTAATTACTAAAATTCTGTGGCACACACACCAAAAATATATTATAGTTTTGGCTGATCTGACCAAAAAAAAATAGGTATAATTTTGATTCATCCACACTGGACGGCTATTGTGTTGGCTGTTGTCATTTTTTTATTTTACAATCTAAGGGAAAAGAGATCAGTGCCTCTGACTCAATAGTCAGGTATCTCATGTTTTAAAAATTCTTGCGGCCACTCCCGTTGAAAATCACTGCTCTAAGTCAGTATTATTCTCAAATACATTCTTAAATTTTTCTTTTTCATCTATCCCATGCCAAAGTAATGACCTCAATTCCTGTAATTAAGAATTAAACTGTTAATTGGTGCATTTAAAATGACCTCATGGAAAGTCCTCCCACTCCTTCCAGGCAGCAAAACATTTAAAAATACATGAAAAATGTAATTTTAAAAATTACTGATTTTTACGGACAAGATTTTCGTCTGCGTCGTGGGGATTGAATATGATAAAATCCCGAGGCTGCTTATCCCCAGCACTACTGTCTTTGGGCTCAGGGGCTGGAAGATGTTTCCTGTTACCGCCTTCCTGCTTTTCACGACCTCCTGCCCTGTGGTGTAACCACCTGTCACGAAGCTGTCCCCAAGGCCCGCATGACCCGCCCCCTGGAGCCGCCTGCAGCCCCTTCCTGCCGGGCCCGGCTCTCAGGAGCCCCCTGCCCTCAGCGGTGCATTGCCTTTCCAATCTGACCGCTGCTCCCGGCTCCTTCCCTCTTGAATTCGTGGTCCACCCCGGGTGAGGCTTCTGGAAGGCACCGGCTGTCTTGGCCGTGGTGATGCGGTGCTCCCCAGGCCTCCCGCCCGCCCCGTCCCGCCCGGAGCCCTGCTGCGCCCCCCTGGGGCTGAGCTGGGCGCTGGGGGAGACAGTGTGGTGGGTGGGCCGCAGACACCCCACCGGACCATCGCCCGTCTCTGGAAAGGTCACTGCCTCGCTGGCAGTTTACATCTTCTGCACACGCTCATTTGGAGGAAGCCCTGGCGGCAGCCTTTAGCCTTGCTTACAGGGGCGCAGCTGTCTCCGCCTCTGGGCTCCCCGCTCCGTGTCCCTCCCAGTAAGCCCATCTCAGGCGGCCCAGTAAGCCCATCTCAGCCGGCCGTCCTTACACTGGCCTGCCAGTCGCAGCTCCCCACGGCGTGAGCTTCCAGGACAGCCCCCTGGCCTGGCCTACGGCAAGGCGCAGAGGCGCATGTCACTGCCTTGAAGGGCCTTCAAACGTCTTACCCACTCGCACCTCTCCTGTGAGGCTGGATCGAGGAAACTAGATGCCTGGCTGTCCTAGTGGCGGGACACCTGTGTGGTCACACACCTTTCCTCGGTCAGACTGTGTGCTGCGCTGTGACCCAGAGTGTGGAAGGGGACGTGCTGGAGCTCTGGGCCGCCCCGAACCAGGTTCTCAACTTACTTTGGAAAACATTTTAGGGTATAAACACAATGCTATAATTTCTAAGAGTAGTATGCAGTATGGCTGATTTCATTCTTTCTAGGTAACGTATAATCAGTATAATTATGTCAAAGATTTTTTTTTTTTTTTCTCATTTTGAATTCATTTTATATCACTAAAGGGAATACTGATTTATCCTAAACCTTAGATTTAAGAACTCTGTTAATTTCAGGTAAGAAATGTCGTAGCAATGTCGTCCCTGGTCCTCCCTACTAAATGCGGTAACACTTTTTTAAAGAGTGTCTTAGAGGTTAATGAATATTATAAAATCAAGCAAAATAGAAACCTCCTTCCCTTAAATTACTGTTTTAATTCTGGTCTCACCATTTTTTTTGCCTTTGTCTGGGGTTAGAAATTGACTGTTTAAAAAGCTGTGGACATTCCAAAAGATGGGGGAGAAGCAAAATAAAATGCCAAGAATTTAGCTGTAAACAAGATCTCAGGGAGGTGGTTGTGTACCTTGGAATCTTATTGTCTTAAACCCAGAGTTGCCAAGTTTCAGGTTTCCTCTGCCCTCGGCTCAGGGGCCGGGCGATGGGCTGCGATGGGTAAAGGAATTGCTTAGTGACCTCACATTCCTTTTCCACGACCCAGCGGCAAGTGCTACCCATCTAGATGCTTACAGATCAGTGCTTTTGAGCAGTAATGGTCAATGTAGAATTTAGGCTTTTCGCCCTCCTAAACTAGAGTATTTGATACTTTGGTTTTCAAAGCTACCGTATTATTCATTTTATATTTGAGAATTTATGAGTATAAATAGGAGTGAGAAACGGCTGCTCTAGATAGCACTTACAGTTTACAGTTTCAATTACAGTTTACATTCAATATTATTCTGTATTAGATTCAAGTGTAGGGCATAGTGCTTAGACAATCATATACTTCACAAAGTGTTCCCCTTGATATTTCAAGTGCCCACCTGGCTCCATACATAGTTATTACAGTATTATTGACTATATTCCCTGTGCTGTGCTTTACATCCCCAGGACTGTTCTGTAACTACCAATTTGTACTTCTTAATCCCTTCACCTTGCTCATCCCTCCAACCCCCTCCCCTCTGGCACCCATCAGTTTCTTCTCTATCTATGAGTCTGTTTCTATTTTGTTCTTTAGATTCCACATATAAGTGAAATCATAAGTATTTGTCTTTATCTGACTTATTCACATAGCATAATATCCTCTAGGTCCATCCATACTGTCACAAAAGGTAAGCTTTCACTCTTTTTGATGACTGAGTAGTATTCCATTGTGTATATATACCACAAATTTTTTATCCACTTGTCTGTTGATGGGCACTTTGCTTCCGTATCTTGCCTGTTGCAAATATGCAGTTTACATTTTTTTTCTGTGTGTGAAATAATGACAGACATTTATTTTAGAAATGTACTAGTAAGTTTTCAAATAACTGAGGTCCTCCAAAGAAGATAGAACATTAGAACTTACCTAATCTAATATATATTCATATATTCATTGATTCAATGAATTTGTTCATATTCTGCAAGTGGATGGAGGTGGAGAGGACATTAAATGCTTATGAAGCTCCCAGTGCATCAGCTCAGTGCATTAGAAGCTCACAGTGCATCAGCTCAGTGATTTTTAACTGGACAGAGAAACTCTGCATGTGAGCGTTTCACTTTGTTGGTAACCTCTTGGCTGCATGATTGAAGACTGAATGAAAGCTGAACAGACTTTTGGTATTTTTAAAAAATATTTTTATTGATTTTTAATGAGAGAGAAAGGGAGAGGGAGAAAGAGAAACATCGATGTGAGAGCAGAACATGGATTGGCTCCCTCGTGCATGGCCCCTACTGGGGATCGAGCCCACAACCCAGGCATGTGCCCCAACCAGGAATCAAACCAGCAATCTTTTGGTGCAGGGGACGACACTCAACCAACTGAGCCACACTGTCCAGGGCTTGGAATTTTTTAAATCACAGGAAACATTACAAATGGATTGAGATGTTTTTGTTCCAAGGAAAGAGGAGCCGCTGGAGGGCGGAGCAGAGCTTCCTATCTGCTCACACAGAGGTCATTAGCGGTGATCTTAGTGTCCCTCCCACCTGGTGTGACCCACAGGGGGCGCAGTCTATGGTGCTGCCTCCAGGCATTTTTAAAGTTGGGCCTTTCCTCATTTACTTGGCTTCCTTCTGCTCAGCTGGATTCAGTCAGGAAATATAAGTAGCAGCTCTTCAAACAGTTATTTTTAAACAGTTACTTTTCAACAGTTATATGATAGAACACGCATTAATGTTGGCAGCAATTAAAAACATTAAACATCCTTTTGCAAACATGTACTCACCCTTGCTTATTCCTGCGGAGTCTCTGATGGGAGTAAACACCAGAGTTTGGAAGTGGTATCTCCGTTATGGGGTTAATCGTGGTCATAAAGCACTTAGTTTGTAGATCTCAGTGACAATAGCTACCACTTTTGCGTGCCAGCTCTGTACCAGGCCCTGTTCAAGCATGATCTCTGTTTTTCAGAACAACCAGGCAAGGGGTTTGGTATTTTCTCTATGCTACAGTTGAGCTTCTGAGGCTCAGAGAAATGAGTTTCTCAAGGCCTGCTGGCTGGAAAGGTGCTGAGCTTGGCATCCAGACCTCAGTCTCCCTCTTCCTGGGGCCACACAGCGTCTCCCAGGACTCAGCACGGTCAGGAGTCCTGCAGGGCTCTTAGCGGTGAAAGCAGCTTTTCAGATGCCTGTCTGTTCCCTCTGGGGCCATCAGTTGGTCTGCTTGGCCGGTCTGCATCTGCTGCTTTCTTCTTTCTTTTTTCTCAAGTTGAAGTGTAAGAAAGAAAGACAGGTGTGTGCGAATGGGTGAGCTCACGTGGCCTGTGTGTGAGAGGGAGGGGGATGGGGGTCGATGCCCTGAAAGTTCCCTCATCCCAACAAGTGGATCGTTGAGGCCACTTGCTCCAGTCAAGGCTGCCTGTGCCTAAACCTTCCTTGGAACATAATGCTTCCCTGTAAGTGTCAAAAATCCCTGGCCCAGGAGACTATCAGTTTTCCTATTGAAAACTAGATTTAATGAATTGCCAGTTAAATAGCAGCAACGCTGCCTCAAATCTTTAAAAAGTTCAGAGTGGAGATTGACAGTGTAAGAAGTGCCAACAACTTAGTGGGCAGAGTGCTTCGTGAACTCTCAGGTGTTTTATACTTTCTCTCTTCTTGCACTTCTGTCTTTTTGCACGCCCCACCCCTTGCTGACCATGTCTTCCTAAGCAGCCTTCTGTGATAAGATCCTAGAGAGCTGGAATCACCAATTAAAGTAATGGGAAAGGGTAAGAGTAGCAAGGGACTATGAGGACAGGGGCAGGCAGGCCACAGAACAGAGGGAAGGGAAGCTGTGGAAAATGTGCAGTGGGATGAAACGGGCTTTCAGAGCTGTGTGGAACGAGGGAGGAGGTGCTTGTGCAGGGTGATATAATATTAATAGAGACAGAAAGGCCTCACTGTATCGGTACTTTTTGCTTTCCATCTTCATCAGAGAATGGCCCTGCAAACTAGAAAGGGTAGAGTGGTCATTACTGAGAGTGCATTAGAGCCTGAATTCTGAGTTAGATGGAAAAACTGCCCAAGATCCTTCAGATGCCAAATCTACATCCCAAGTCACATGGGATTCTTACCCATGATCTCAAGGTCACCTCATGCATTTTGTGAGAAATTACCAGACAAATGGAGATGGATGAATGTCCTAGTTAAGGGAGAGCATTATTACTTAGAAGCTAAAGACCTGAAGTAAGATTGATGTCAGTTCTTGGCTGTAGATAATTGACCAACCAGAGATCTTACATGTGCTTAGGAAAGACTGTGTGGTGCCCAGGAATCCACATGGACACCACCGTAAGCCTTGCCCAGACTCATTTCCTTTAAGTACAAGTAAATTTCTTTTACTTGTTTTTTTGGAGGAGAGAGATTAGATTATACAAATCACAGATTCATAGACTTTCACATTTCATGGTTGCTCATTTAGTTTAAGTAATGCTACAAACCATCATTTTTGGCAAGCCTCGGTTTCAGTACAGTATTTGAGAAAATCTCTTATAATCTTATAAGAGGGAGATGGAGTCTATAGTTGGATGCTGGTGTTAGGTTGATTCCCATATTTTGAAAAGTAAGCCAAAAATTGGTTGAATAATGAATGGTATGGTGTCATTCATTATTGAGGGGGAGATGCTCAGGTAGACACTGTCATTGTCCTTATTTTTCACCCGACAAAACCCTAACTGCCCCAAAGAACCCAACAGAAAAGGAATACTTCACTCTCAGATCTGCAGATAAGAGAGAGCTGGGAGGGTTAGCTGATATGAAAATGGAGAGACTAAAAATTCAGATCACTTTGTGAACTAACAAGACAGGGTTCATTGTTTACAAACATCAACTCCTGAATTTGTGGCAGAAGTCCATTAAGCAATATGAGACAGGGGAAATGTAATTTTGAGGAAGTTATGGGAATTTTGGAGTTTCAGCTAACCATATTATTGTGAGTAATATGTCTATAAACAGTCAAATAAAAAAACCAAAAGAACCCAAAACAACCCCTACCATAGGAAGAATAAAACTTAAAGAATTTTAGATGGCATTTTATGAGTGTAGTTATCCGCACGTGAAATACCAGTTAGGTTCCATTGTTGCCGTTCATCCCCACATTATAAGAACACAGTTCTGTGTGGCCTATTATAAGGACATCAGAAGTTGATGTGGCTTCCAGACGTGTTGAGTGCCATACTTGGCTGTCATGTCCTAGAGCCATCGTGGAAGGAACTGGGACTGTTGGACCAATGGAAGGCTAAGGGCAGACGTGGTGGTTGCCTTCAAATCTGAAGGTATTTTTTGAACAGGATAGAAAATTTCTCTTCATTCCGCGGGTTAGATGAGAAGCAAAGAATTGAAGAAGGCATGAGGAAGCGAGCTCAGCTGAATACAAGGGAAATTAGTAAGTCAGACTGATGATGGAATGGGAGGCCTTGGAAAGAAATGACCATTGCTTTCCTCCAGCGTTAGAGGTCAAGTTGGACCTACTGATTTGCGCTCTTTAGGGCCCACTTCCAGTGCTACTGCCTCTCTGAAGTCACTTTCTTTCTGCAAAATATTTCTTTTCTTATTTCTTTTAGACCCCCCAGCTCTATACACAGTGTCGGACTATTGTGGGTGTTAGTGAATTTTGGATGAAAGGATGGAACTGGGCAGCGGGCTGTCTGGGTTCTCAGATAACAGCATCCAACAGCAGAACTAAGAAAAATCTATTTCCCCTCCACTATGCTCTCTATTTATTTCTGCTTTGAGTAGATAACCTTAGGAGAAAATTTGTTCTAATTTATATGAGAACAAAAGATTTTTACTTGATTATACCAAGAGAAGCATTTTTCCTGTAATTTGAACTTTTAATCATAGATATCGCTGACATTCAGGCAAAATAGCTTGGTTCACTGGAGGGTGTTTTGAAATTTTTAGAATGATCAGGAAACTGTCATCTCATGGGGATTTTAGCCACTCATGAAGAAAATCATTATCTTTAAAATTGAAGATTTACAAAAAGGAATAAAGTAAATGAAAATGATGCTATCAAATTTTTGAAAAATTGTCTTTTTTCCAGTAGCAATAGATTTCGAGACGTAGTGGGTTGGATGTCACTGAGTAATATCCCCCTTTGTTATTGTGTTCGATTTAGGCTGATTCGAAAGTCATTGAGAAGTGGATGGATGGTGTGAAAGACTTCTTAATGGAAGAGCAGGCTGTCCAGGGAGATGCCGAAGGGCTACAAAGGCAGCTTGACCAGTGCTCGGTGAGTCCTGCTGACCTGGGGGACCTGCCGTTATAAATAACATGCTCTTCTTGCCATTTATTATTTGAAGCTGTTATTAACAATGTAAGAACATGACATGACAATATATCCAGATAAAATATCTTTCATTATAAAGTGTTCTTTGACTTTATAGTTAATAAAAAATGACTGATTATTTATATTTGGCCATGGTCATAGAATTTTGGAGAGAGGGAACGGGAGCTTCTATTTTGTGTTATGATGACAATCTTAGTATCATAGTTACCAACTGTATCTTGCTCTTATTGTGTCACATGGTAAAGCTTTAAGAAAAACATATTTAACAATTGCAATGTCCCAGTAATACTGCCTACAATTTATATTTGGTGAAATTATTAGGCTTCTCTAAATTAATTGAAAGTGCTATTTCCTGAAGAGAGTCAAGTATTTCCAATCTATTTGGCAGATGTCTGCGTGAAGCACCCAGGTGAACTGAATTTCTTAAGGCATAATATTTCCGAAGCAGTTAAAGTTGTGACTCCCAAGTAATCTGTTCTTATGATATTCGCAGGGGTCAAAACAAAGTATAATTTTAATTATAGGCTTCTTTGGGAATGAAGTCAACAAGGGCTTCATTTCTGTGTTCAGGCTTTTGTTAATGAAATAGAAACAATTGAGTCATCGCTGAAAGACATGAAGGAAGTAGAGACTAACCTTCGAAGTTGTCCAGTTGCTGGAATCAAAACCTGGGTGCAGACAAAACTAGCTGACTATCAACCCCAACTGGAGAAGTTCAGCAGGGAGGTAAGTTTTTCAGCTTTACTGCCTGTGGTTTTTCAAGAGGTAGATAAAATTGATAAAATTGATTGTATAGCCCATATAGTTTGAAAAACAGAGAGGATACTAATTGTCCAGTTTGACTGCTCAGTGGGAATGAGCTTGAGGTGTGTGGCTCAGTTGGCTGAGCATTGTACCCTGCACCAAGAGGTCACCGGTTTGATTCGGGCCAGGGCATGTGCCTCAGTTGCGGACTCAGTACGAAGTGTGCAGGAGGCAGCCAATCTACGCTTCTCTCTCTTTCTCTCTCTCCCTCTCCCTCACCCTTCCTCTCTCTCTATAAAANTTGTACCCTGCACCAAGAGGTCACCGGTTTGATTCGGGCCAGGGCACGTGCCTCAGTTGCGGACCAGTCCCCAGTACGAAGTGTGCAGGAGGCAGCCAATCTACGCTTCTCTCTCTTTCTCTCTCTCCCTCTCCCTCACCCTTCCTCTCTCTCTATAAAANCCGGTTTGATTCGGGCCAGGGCATGTGCCTCAGTTGCGGACTCAGTACGAAGTGTGCAGGAGGCAGCCAATCTACGCTTCTCTCTCTTTCTCTCTCTCCCTCTCCCTCACCCTTCCTCTCTCTCTATAAAATCAATGAAAACATATTTTTTAAAAAAGAACAAGAAAGACATTGTAGCTGGAATAGAGTGGACAGAGGAGCCACTGGGTTAGAGAATGGTGAGACGTGAGGTGAGAAGATAGTTGGGATGGATTGTATGTGGCCTTGGAGACAAAGATTTGGGGTTTTATTTCAAGGATGACTTCACACAGAAAGCAATTTGAAAGTTTTGAACCGGGAAGTGACTTGGGAAAGATCTTTTAAGAACACCCTGGATTCCATCTGGAGAGTTTGCTCTGGAAAGGCAAGAGGCTGTTGCAGTCTCGGGAGAGGATGGCTCCTTGGACTAGGCAGGTGGTGGAGGAGGTCATGAGAAAGTCAGGTTTGGGCCCTATTTTGTAACTAGAGATGAGAGTCTGGTAATGGATTGGGTATGTGACATAAGAAAAAGCAAACTGTCAAGGACAGGTTAGGATTTTTGCAAAGCGTTTGCTTTGTGTGAATTGTGGGTCATTTACCGAATGGTGAAGACTCGAGGAGAAGCTTTTGTGGGAGCAGGCGACATGGTGGTTTCCATTCTGGAAGGGTCCACGTCGAGATCCTTGCTAGACATGCAGGTGGGGTTCTTTATTACTTCCCTTGGGAAAGAGGAAGGGGCAGGGGCCGAGGGTGCTGAGAAGGAGGGGTCGGCCAGAGGAAGAGTGCGGGGACACTGAGGTCCCGACAGTGTCCAGAGCCGAGGGTCGCTGAGGCCCGTGGGAACTGGGAAACGAGCTTGAGATTTGACAAGGTGGAGGCCTCTAAAGACCCTGAGAGAGCCACTCCAGTGGATTGTCGGGGAAGAAAGAGACACTGCAGAATGTTGAGGAGAGAATGGGGAGCGAGGAACAGGGGCAACAAGTATAACCAGCTTGGGGAAATTTCTCTGTTCAAGGGAGCCGAGAAATGGGGTGCGTGAGGGGACATGAGATGTTCGTTTAATTTTTAAAAATAAGAGATGCTACAGGATAGTTGCATGCTGACAAGAAGGACCTCACCTGGATGGAGACAATAAAGATGCAGAAGAGACTGAGGGACATGGCTTCTGAAGTGAGGCCTGTGATTATGCGAGGGAATGAGGTTTGCTCTCTGGGTGAAAGGATTGCGGAGCACAGTTTCCCCGTGGAAATGGAAGGGAAAGCGACCGTTCCCCGCCCGCTTCCCTTTTGCTAGAGAAACGGTGGCGGAGTGAGCAGGGGTGGAAAGTGGGAGAAGTGTGAGGCACAGGAATACTTCACAGGCAGGCCGTGGAGAGCCCATGCCTCTTCACAGTGTTTTTTGGTTAATGTTTATGTAGACAAAAATTATAATTTGCATCCTTGAGTATTTTGTTTTGTTTTATGGTTTCCCTCCCAAATCCTTAACTTGTATATATTCAAACTTACGGAAAAGTTGAAATAATGATACAGGGAGCAGTCACACACCCATGCCTACACTTGCCAGTTGTTAATGTTTTACCATGTTTGCTTTCTCATTTTTTCCCCCCAGCTCCCTTTACATACAGACATGTACATTCTTTTTCTTTTTTTGGTTAAAAATATACTTTCGACAGGGATTTTAAAATATGATGACACTTCACCTCTGAATGAGGACACTCTTATACAAAGCGGCCACACCATGATCACACTTGATAAAGTATTTTATAATATCATCTATTAATACAGCCAAATTGAGATTTCTCTAAATGTGCTATAATCTGATGCTATATGCTTGAATGGGGTGTTTGGGGAAGAAAATGGGGGAAATTGTTTGGAAGTGGCAATGAGGAGCCAGGAAGGTGATAGATACATATGTAGGGACATAGACATAGACATTCAGATCGATGACTGTCTATCTATCCACATATATACATACACACATATGACAGCATAGAATTAGTTGTGAATTATTACTGATTCAAAGCATGGGAATAAAGTATAGGACATTTTTAAGTGTCCTCAGCAGGAGGCAACCCTCCAGCCTATTGCCTTTCAGTGAATCGTAAAAAGGTTGAAGAAGTCTGAGATAAACATAGTGTTGCCATGTTTTTATTTTGTTAAGAAAGGACAGACATATACAACCAACCAGCAAACTAAAGACAGCCTACATCATCTATTACATATATCCATGGTCTCATGAAAGGAAGAACATTATAATACCAGAAAATAGAAAATTTATAATATCAAGGGAATTAATTCTAATTTTGAGCTTTTGGGTGTTTTTTTTTGAAAAGTTTGCTAGTGTCTTTATTTTTTGCATTTCTCTATGGATCCATAAAAATTACATAACTAACTAGTGTCCAGAAACTACTAGTAAAGAGAATTTTCTGGAAGTGGGGTCCAGGAAATCTATGTGTGCGTGTGCGTGTGTGTGTTTAAAGCTGACCAGCCAGGCTTTGGACCAGGGCTGTGTGTATTGCTGGCAGAGGCTCCTAGAGCACCAGGCTGGCAGTGAAATCAAAGCCTGGGTTTGAACCCCTTCTATTTTTATGACTGTGACCCTGTGGAAGAGCAGGAACAGGAAAACCACTAAGTCTTGCCCCCCTTACTCTCGTGAGAGCCGTCTATTCCTGTCCTGGCCTTTGGTCACTATGAGCTTCACAGCCAAGCGGCCCTGGCAGGTGACCGCTGCTCTGAGACTGAATTTGAGCAGAGGGTAAATAGCGAGTGAGCATGATCTCTGTGCACAGCATCTCTCCCATAGCGAAGCGAGTTTGTAGTTAGAGGGAGGGTCTCTCTGAAAATACTTTAGACTTCTCTGAAACTTTTAAGTTATTGAACCAGATTCGGAAAAATACCTGTTTTCTAATGTAACTTTTTTGTGTCTCTGGGGAATATAAAAGTATAGTAAATTTTCAAAGCCAAATTTTGTAGAGCAGTGTTTTATGAACATCTTTAATAGCAGCCCTCTCTTCTCTGCTGTTAAAATTGAAATCTTAACAGAGAATCCTGTTAAAAAGCAGAAAATGGATATTTTGGTTGTATTCAGGGTTTTTTCCATAATAAAGCTACAGTAAATTTCCTTGAAATATATGCTATTATTGCTATAGGTTAGATTCCTTCATTTGGGATTACTTTGTCAAAAGTTATGCATTTTCAAAATCATAATAGATATTTCCAGATTAGATTAATATCTAAAATGTGAACTAGAATCCCAGTTATAATTATTGTTTTCATTATTGCGTATATCTCACAATAGCATACAGTGTATAAAGGATTTCACGTGAATTTTAAAACCTAAGACTTTGTGGAAAGTTATCACTGTGCCTTTAGCTATTAGAAACTTGGCATTTACTATATTAACACTTGTTTATTTGGGTAAATGGCTTTCTTTTCTAGATTGCTATTCAGAAAAATAGGTTGTCCGAAAGTCAGGAAAAAGTGGTGAACTTGAAGAAAGACTTGGCGGAGATGCAGGAATGGATGACTCAGGCGGAAGAAGAGTACCTGGAGAGGGATTTTGAATACAAGTCACCAGAAGAACTTGAGAGTGCTGTGGAAGAAATGAAGGTGAGGCTGTGCCAGCAGGCCTGTCTCTCCCTTCCTCCCTTTCACAACATTCATTCAGTCGATCAGTCATCTGTCTGGCTGTAAATCATGATTGTACAGCTGACCCTTGAACAACACCGGTTTGGACTGCATGGGTCCACTCATACATGTATCTCTTCCCTATGGCTTTCTTAATAACATTTTCTTTTCTCTAGCTTACATATAACATACAAAATATGTGTTCATTGACTGTATTATAAGCCAGGCTTCTGGTTAACAGTAGGCTCTTAGTAGTTAAGTTTTGGGGGAGTCAACAGCTATACGTGGATTTCGACCACTTGTGTTGTTCAAGGGTCAACTGTACATAGAATCTTTCGTAGTAGGATTTCAAATAAAAAAAAAAAACAACCACGAAGGGGAGCGGCTATGATTCTAGTAGGGAAAGGAAGTTCAACTTGGCTCAGCTGTTGAATTGTAAAGGGCCCTGAGATGTTTTCTTATGTGAGATCCTTGGGGTGCCACAGAGAATGACTGAAAATTCAGTGGCACCCACCACATTCACAGTGTTGTACAGCCATCACCACTATTTCCAGATATTTTCAGGAAGAGTTATTTTTCATTAAGAACAAGAGAGACTTTCCCATTTGGTTGGGGTTTATTCTTATTTCATCAGATGTGTTCTTCCCGTTACTACACGGGGCACACGCGTATATGAACATTTTTGTTAGAGCAGGTAAGGTAGCAGTAGGAACATTGTCAAGGGATTTAATATCGGTTGGGGCCACAGGATATATTTCCTGTGAACTTACATTCCTGCGCCCATAGTCTTGAACACTCTCCTTTTTAATAAAATAAAAGAACTGGGCATCATTCCCAAATTTCTCACACTGCTTCAAGTCTCCTTCAGTGTTCAAGCCAAAGGAGATAGTGATTAAAGGCTATTTTAAAAAATGGGATTAAGCAACACATTGACTGTTTCAGGCCAAAGTTAACTGGCCAAAAAATGTAACGAAACCAAAAACCTCTGTGCGGATATTTTTAAAAAAGGAGTAGATTCCGTCCATGCGTTCTTGTATATGAATAAAAGTAAACGCGGCGAAGGACTTGTATTGTACTCATAGTATTTTCATTGAAACATCTTTTTAAGAGTAGCTTTTTTGGAAAGCCTTGAGAATAGTCAGTATATAAGGTATTTTAAAGGTAGCTTGCTACATTAAGAACCATCTTATTTCATATATTCTCTTTCTTTACACTACTGGCATTGTAGTTTTGTGATTTATTAAAATCTCTAGGGATGAGAGTTTATAAAAATAAGATTAACACCTTTGATTGGGCAACATTCAGTTTATTTTTATTCTTACAAACAAACATTAGGATTTTAAGAACCACTACACTTAATTATTGTATCCAGCCCAGGAAAGTTTAAAACCATTAAGCAGTAAAGAAAGCTGAAAGAGAAAGTGAAAAGCTGCGTTTGGCTGGTTTTCCTGAAAGTGAGACTTTATTCTAAGTGCGGGGCGAGAGTCAGGCAAGAAGCTATTTCTAGATCAGCTCTTCCTAGTATAACTATATCACCTTGGAAATGCTGTTCATTATCAGAAAGATAGACGTACCTGTGTCCCAGGAGAGAAAAATACTTTTGAATAATTTTTAAAGGACACCTCCACCATGGTGCATCGCAACTTTTGCGAACATTTATTTACTTCTGTTTAAAATGCTCAGAACTCTAGTGGTCAATTAAAATTACGGTAATTCACTTAGATTCTTACCATGGGCCCAGGCTTTGAAAATATATCACGTCAGTGAACGTCACTTAGGATGACTTAGGTGTTAACGTGCCTGTTATTAAATGAAAATGTTTGCACGTCGGGGCATATGATGGGTGGGATTTTATAGTTAGCATTCGTATTTCAACAGCGCTCTCTGTAGTGATTACCTAAATAGTGTTCCACATTAGGCAGTTGGAGTCAGGTAGATGTTTTTATTTTGGTTCAATTATTTTTTAAAAAAGAAGGAAATAGGTTAGAGAGAAAGGGAGAGAGTTTTCAAAACTCTGCTTTCTTGGAACAGAGGGCAAAAGAGGATGTGCTGCAGAAGGAGGTGAGAGTGAAGATCCTGAAGGACAACATCAAGTTACTGGCTGCTCGGGGGCCCTCTGGTGGCCAGGAATTGACGTCGGAGCTGAACGTGGTGCTGGAGAACTACCAGCTTCTTTGCAACAGAATTCGAGGAAAGTGCCACACGCTAGAGGTATGTTATTTTTTCAGTGATGCATTTCTGAGATTAAAACTCTGTAATGTGCTGACCATTTCCCTATCTTAGGAAAAAACCCCTCCGTTCCCCTCCCCCCCAAGTACTGGATCATAAAGGAAAATAAAATGAAGCGGGGATAAAAAATATAGGAGACCAAGATCTTCCCCCAGTTAATGGAAGGTTCTTGGGAAAGTCATTGAATAGCTTCAGACTTTACTTTTTTTTATATGTGAAATCAAGGTTTTCATATCACAGGTGATCTGTAGGGTCTGTTCCAGCCCTAAAATTCTAGAATAGTTTACCATGAACATCTCTTTTTTGTTTTGTTTTGCCTGGTTAGTACACAGACATGAATTGAGGTTTTTATTTATTTATTTAGACTGGCATCCAAAATTAGAGTCACCTGAAAGGAAGCAGATCTTGAATGTGCTAGTAATTTGCTGGACTATAACCTGTAGTGTTACGTAGGCCTAGTCTGAAGTCCTGGTGAACTATCTTGGAATTGAACTTCAACTACAGTCTTACCCATGTTTTCCTCTCTGTCGTAACCACCCTTGATTTTGCTCTTTTTTAGCTTTCCTTTTTATTTCTGGCCAAAATAACAGCTCATAACATGTTTACATAATGAATGGAGTCCCCAAATTATCCCAAGCTAACAAAAGACCACCGTGCCTTTATGACGCAGAGGTGACAATTTGAAAATGAGGAATGAAATGAAGATTTTGAGGGTTTGGAGTTGCTCTGAGAATTAACATTAGAATTACTTTGAAGTTAGTTTGAATTACTTTGAGAGAAGGAAAAATGGAAAAAAAATGGTGTCGGTAAAAGAGAAAAGATAAGACCTTGATGTCTTTGAAATGAGAAATGAAAGGAAGGAAAGAGAGGCTTAAAAATGGAAATGCTTTTAACATGATGTCAGAGATTACCAAGGGATATTGGGCAGAAAGAGCCCAAATTTCTAAGTTAGCGTAAGAATCCCTTTTTTCCGAGAAATCCAATTCTATGAGCTTGATTGTTTTTAGAATAAAAATAATCCTTTAAAATATGTTAAATCATGACATACTTCAGACTTAGAGAAGATCAGAGATAGTACTACTAACACGTCTTTTAGCTGTAACTAGTGTTAACTTATTGTCACATTTTCCCAGATCTTGTTTTTAAAATAAAATAAAAATCCCAGGGACTCCAGTCCCATCCCATCACTCTCTTGATGTACTTGCCACCCAGAAGTTGGTGTATAGTCTTCCTGGCCACGTTCTTATATTTTTAATATATACACCCACTTATGTCTCCATCATCAACTGCTATGTAACAGCCTCACTGAAACGTTGTGACTAACAAAAGCGCCATTTATTCTCTCTCATGATTCTGTGGCTGATGTGGCTCAGCGGGTGGCTTTCTGCTGCGCGTGGTACATGAATAGCCCACTCAGGTAGCTGCACCCCCCTGGGAGCTCTGCGGCAGCGTTCACGGTGGCCTCTCGTCCTCCAGGTCCCTCTCCACGCGGCCTCTCAGTTTTTCAGCTTCCCTACAGCATGGCAGCTGGCTTTTGAGAGGGAGAAAGCGGGAGCTTCCAGTCCTCTTAGAGGCTAGGTCTGCAGCTGGACTCAGTATCACATCTGTGACATTCTTTTGGTCTAAGCAAGTCACAGGGCCAACCCACTGGTGCAAAAGAATTGCACCACTTAATGGGAGTAGGGGCTAAAAATTTGTGGCCATCCTTAATCCACCCTAGTTCAAGCCCTGGTCATAAATTTCATTCCTCCCATGTGCAAAATGTACGTCCTCTCTCCCAGGGACTCCCAGTCATATCCAGCACAGCATCAAGCTCGCAATCCAGCATCAGGTCTAAACACAGATGTGGCCCCTTAGGGCGGTTTCTTCGAGTGCAGGTATTCAGGTGTGGACTGCTCAGTCTGGTGACTTGGGCACTAAAATGATAAGCTATCCTGCCCCATGTGCCCACATACAGTGGTGAGCTAGGCACAGGAAAACCTCAGTGGACACTCCATTCAAAAAAGTCGGGGCAGTGGAAGTTAAATATCAGTCACTGGTAATAGTGACTCTGAAATCTAATAATAGGAATGCTGAAGTCTAGCCAGGGCCCTGCACCAGGGACTCGGGTAGGGGCCAGCTCTGCTCCTTGGGGGTGCTGCTCTGAGAGCCATCTTCCGTTCCCATAAGACAAAGGGCTCTCCTTGCAGCCAAGTAGGTTTCCTCTGGCTGCTTTCCACCTGTGGAAATTTGGGGGACCAGCCACACCTTTTCTGTTTAGTCTTATTCAAGGGTTGGGAGAATACGGGCTGAGGCTCAGGTCTGGTTTGTGCTTCCTCTATGGCCTGTGAGCTAACAATGGTTTGTATGTTTTTAAATTTTAAAGGGTTGTTAATAACAAACAAAACACACGCACAACATAAACAGAAGAATCTGTAGCAGGGACCAGATGTGACTTGTAAACCTTAAAATATTTACTGTCCGGCCTTTTATGGAAAAAGTTGCTCCCCCTGGCCCGGTAAACACAACTCCTTTGGAATGGAGGCTAGAATGGCCTCCTCTCGGTGGGTGCATCCCAAGGAGAACTGACCCTGGAGGCTCCACCAGAACTCTTCCTAAATCCATCCATCAGATAGGCTCCTCTGTGGGGAAGGGGCTGTTCCCCCCTGTAATTTTCTCTTAGGAAGTGGGAGGTATAAATTTATCCCCTCCTCTCACCTCCCCCCCAAACTCTCCATTGGGAATATGGAATGAGTGATTGCCACTAATGCAATAAGTATAGTATAACTCCATTTGGAGTAAAATAATGGCTTTTTGCATACATAGGCACATTCATATGAATTTAGAAAAAAGTCGAAAAGAGTATGCAGCAAATTGTTACATCCGTTAGCTCCGAGTTGGAGTAGGACGGACCCCATGACCCCACGGAATTCCAGTTTTCTATGTAACTGTTAAAAAAAATGTTGCAATTATGAGTGCTTTTGCTTTTCTATTTAAAAAACAAACCGGCAATATTTTCCTCCTGGTCTCTTCTCCTAATTACATAATTTTATTCTTGACTTTTAACCAGATCCTTGGAATGTATTTCAGTGTAGATCTGAGGCAGCTCGTTCCCCTTCGCCTCCCGTCCCCCACCGGGTGGCCTAATGCGATTTATGGGAGAACGAGGGAGGTTCGAGTTCAGTTGGAAATTCCAGCCTCGCCCCTCAGCGCCCGCGCCATCTAACCCTGTCCCCCGCCTGCCGCAGGAGGTGTGGTCCTGCTGGATGGAGCTGCTGCACTACCTGGACCTGGAGACGGCCTGGCTGAGCAGCCTGCAGGAGCGCGCGC